TGTACTGACCTATATATTGGAGATGCCTTTCCCCCTCCCTGCGCTCCCGGCCGCCGCCCGGCCCGGCTCTGCCCCGGCGCCGCCCGAGCGCGGTACGGGATCCTATGGTCTCACCAGGGGGATCCAACTCTTTTTCCCCCTTATTCCCTTAACTCTCTCCCTCCTCCCATCTGCCCCTCATCCCCGATTTCGGCACCGGCACCGGCTGCCTGAGCGTGCTTCGTGTGTGTACCCGGTCGAAATCTGCGGCGCAGAAGCTTTGGGGAAGCTTGTGTTGGAGCCTCCCGGGGGCGGCCCGACGCGGCGCTCATCCCCTGGACAGGACAGGAGTGGGCGCGTATGATTTTTGCAGGGCTGGCTGTTGGATGGGATGGGAGGGGTGCAGGACCGTGCTCCGCTCCGGATCAGGGGGTGTGGGGCGGGTGGCGCCCGCGCGGGACGGGAGGGGGAGCACTGGTCGATGTCGATACAAGCTGTGCCGCTAGTCACTCACCCACCGCAACGCGCGGGGCGTGGCGTGGCACCCCCCCCCCCCCTTTTACTCCTCTCGCCCTTACATCCTACTTGATGGCAAGCCCCCACCTCCCCCATCTTCAGCCCCTAAAGTCCAATACTATGTTCTCCCCCAACCGAATCCTAGGCATGTGTTTAAGTGCAGCTCTCCCGTGACACCTCCATCTGGCCAGCGCGTGACGGGTGACGGATCTCTTAGTTAAGGCCGAGTCCACGCCCCTGTCCTGGTGTCCTGTCACGGTGCGGGGCACGGCTGCGCGTGTCTTAAGGTGCCGTGCCGCGGGGGTGGTGGCCCGTAGGCTCAGGGCTGCCTGGCCGGCAGGGGGGGGGGGGGGAGCTTTCGGTGCTCCTTGTTTCGGCGGTTCGAGGAATATTTGCCTGCCTAGACTGTAAATATGGGGCGTCCTAGCAGCTTTGCAACTTAAAGTGCCTGATCCCCGGAACCTGTGCAACTTAGGTCGCACTGCTGCTGGACACCTAAGTGTCGTAAGCTTACGATGACCCATATGATTACAAGGTATAAGAGCAGCCCCTCCCCCCCGTCGACGGAGGAGAGAGATCTCCATTGTAGTCGGTGGTGTCGTTCCTTTTCTAACTCGGCTGCGATTTTCTCTTTTGCAGGCTGGGCACCATGTGGAAGATGATGACCAAGGAGAAGAAGGACACCTACTTCGAGTTGGCCCGACTGGTGGACGCCGAACACAAGAAGAAGTACCCAGGTACGCATGGAGCGGCCGGGCCCCATGAGCTCGTCGCCCTGCTCATGGCCTGGCCTGGATCAGCCGGATTCGGCGGCGGCGTTACGGGATGAATTATTTGCCGCTTGCGCCCCATGGGGCTGAAGCACGGCAGAGGCAAAAGGCTTGGTTTTCCAAAAAAATAAAAGTTATTTCGTGCTCTAGGCAGAAGAAAGAAACAGTTTGAGACCGAGTATCGAACTTGCGCCGCCACCCATCTCCCGACAGTTGCGAGAACGACGCTTAAAAGCGCGGGCACGATTTCCATCCCCTGGTCCGCCCGCCCCACTTTCTAAAGTGCTCGCCGCTTGGAGACGCGGGCGGCGAAATGACTTGCCTTGCTAATGCGATGTGACGAATAATCGGTAAGGTGGCGCCTGGGCGGGGGTGGCTGGCGCGCGGCGGTCTCCAGGCGAGGGGCGCGGAGGGGGAGGGGGCAGATCCCTCAAGGACAGTTTGAGGACTTTGTCATCTGCGAAGCAGGAGCACCAGTGTAGTAGTAGTTGCATCGCGAGCGGACACGGCACCGCATAGGGCTCGGCGAAGGTGCCGCGGGCATCTTGCCCCATCCCCTCCTTCCCCTCCTTCCCCAACCCCATGCAAACTTCATATGCGTACAGTTTTCTTTCCCCTAGTGGACTTTCGCCGCATTTAGGCTGGAGTCCTAAGTGAGGTCGTCTGGCGTGACTACATTGCATTAAAAAGAATATTTTCGGGCTTCGAAAAATGTTTACTGCAACTTGACTTTGCAATGCAAACAAATGGATAACAAGGGTTTGGCCGGCCTGCAAAGAAACTCCCAGTACTGCGAACAGATTCTCCCCCATTTTGCTATCTGCTTTGAAAGGTGTCCAGCACCAAGGCGCGGGCAAAGGGCCGCCGCCTCCCCGCGTCACTTCGCGAGGCGAATCGAGGATGGGCCTGGCTGTGCCACGCGGCCTGCACGGGGGTCCCTCCGGGGCCCGGGGGTCGGTAGCCCCCTTCGACCACCCCGCCCGG